TAATGTCCTTGTCTTTATCACATTTCAGCCTATTTGAATTTTTGAAAAGGGCTGTTGTAAACATTGTATACTGGTTCATCTAGACTAATGTCCTTGTCTTTATCACATTTCAGCCTATCTGAATTTTTTTTAAAGGGCTGTTGTAAAAAATTGTATACTGGTTCATCTAGACTAATGTCCTTGTCTTTATCACATTTCAAATCGATTTGAATTTTTTTTAAAAATTTGTTGTAAAAATTAATATACTGGTTCATCTAGAAAAATAAAATGTCTTTATCACATTTCAGCCTATCTGAATTTTTTGAAAAGGGCTGTTGTAAACATTGTAGATTGGTTCATCTAATACTTTTGTTACTGTCTTTTCACATTTAAGCCTATCTGAATTTTTTTTAAAGTTATTGTAAACATTGTGTTTTAAACAAGGTCAGATAATATCAGTACACTATATAAATATTGCTAATGACACAATTATAGTTGTAGGAATGGGTGCATATAATGGCGGCTATCAACGTGGAAAGTGAAATCAACCTGCCAAGTTCAAATTTCCAACTAGTTTGATGCATTCACTTTTGCACAAATTTTTTTTGAAAAGGAATGAATTCATCATTTCTCCTCTTTCCCTAGTTCATCATTAATAGCAGGGCAGACTAGGCTATCTAGCTTCTGTTGGCATCCAGTTTAGGAGAAGGACAGTTCTGAATTCAAAATTGGTTAGGCTTGAGGCTTTGCTGCATGAGATTTCATAAAAACCTATTTGCTAAATGAAACCACAAAAAGCACTTAGCAAGGTTTTTGAGGAACTTATTCTCCTTAATAATTATAATAACATTTTAAGAAAATTTATAGATATTAGTGCAGATAATAAATACATTAACCAAAAGGAGAAGAAAAAAAAAGAAATAGAAAAAAACACTGAATGCAAAAAAAAGTGTTGAAAGTCTCCCAAAATCTTAAAATGTATATCCTTTCAACTTTGAATTTTTCAGTTTTATATATGGGCTTAATCAATTACTAAAGCTAATAAAACTCCTAAATAAACATTGACCATCTATTCTGGTAATTTTAAAATTTATTTAAACTTGATTGGTCAATATTTTTAGACACACTTTCACAGATTTATTGCATTTATAAATGAAGAAAAAAATCACGTAAGCCAAGGGCTTTTCTCACAATTACAAAAATAAAATTATAATTTTATTTTTAAACCAAATACATGTTTAAGAACTTTTTTGTTTGAAATAACAGAAAGAGTTGAGCTAAAAGCTGTTATTTTAGTATGTAAATGGTGTTCCAATAACCGATTTTAAACGTGAATTAAGTTTAAGCATCTAATGATTTTTTTCTTTTACTTTCAGATTTAACAACTTAAGTCTTTAGCAATTTCAACCATGGAAAGATTAACAATCCATGTGTTAAAGTTTCAAGAGTGCAATTGGAAAAATTGTTTGTAAATTCAAACAAACTGGGTCAGTGGCAGATGTGAAAACACCATTGAGTGCTCATTTACACCGTTCGACTGAAAACATTGCTGCAGTGTACAAGAATGTGGTTGACAATCCAGATATTTTATTTCATCATTGAGCACAAGAATTGAACCTCTCCACAACCTTACATCATTTCCAATTTTACTCTCAGTTGGTCAATTATGTTGACCAAAAATATTGCAAAGTGCGTAAAATGGATTTCTGTTTGAACATCCATTTTCATAATAGGCTTTGATAACTTTAACACTTTGTTTGATTGTTAATCTTTCCATGGTTGAAATTGTCAAAGACTTAAGTTGTTAAATCGGAAAGAAAAAGAAAAAATATCATTAGATGCTTAAGCTTAATTCACATTTAAAATCGATCCAAGTTATTGGAACAGTCTTTATATATCCTAAATCTAACAGGGCCAACTTTCTGTTTATATTGGCACAATCACCAACATCCTTTGAGGCCCAATTCTGCATTTGGTTATGCATCTATTAGATGTGACAGTGAGTAGAAAGCTTAATTTGGTATTTTTTAGGCTGAACCCAGTAGATATTGGGATTACTACAGATCAACTCTCCTTAGATCAAATGTTCCTGATCCACATTAAATTTGACTCAGACCTCGAGTATTTCCTGGCATGAATCACATATTACATATTTATATTGATGTTCATGGCAAAGGCATGAAACCATTCATTCCTGCACTGATCCATCATCAGATTTGAAAATAAGACTGGATTCTTTCAAGGTTATTGCAGGAAAAAAGTTATCTTCTCACTCTTGTCAAGATATTTTTTCTTTTTTTTTTTGTAATCATTTCACCCCAAGCAAGGCAATAATGCCACTAAGATGCAAGGGACTATTAGGAGTGAACGAAAATGAAAAGACTTTAGAAGGAACTGGAAACCCAATCCTAAGCAGAAAACAAGAGATAAACCTCTACTGTGGCTCAAAAGGCCAGGATGGAGTGTGAACCGGTCTTTTAAACAGGAGTAAAGGTTTATCCCTTAATCCCTGTTTAGGATTGGTTTTCCGGTTCCTTCTAAAGTCTACTTCAACTCTATACTTCTGTCTCCACTTGAATTCTGAAATTTTATTTACTAATTATTTATTTATTTTTTTTATATTTTTTTTTCCTCAATATGAATAGATATGTTCGCTTATCATCCGGTTCACACTCCTCCCCAGGAATTAATGCTGTATATATCTCTTGGTTTATATAAGTTCCAGTTGTCTTTTGTGCATAAATCCTAATTTCTGCTGGGCTCACTTTCTTGTTTATGTTGGTGCACCAACTGACCTCTTTTGAGGCCCGGTACTGCATTTGGTGGCTATTAGGTAACCCTTTCTTTGGGACTCCCACAGTCTTTTAACTTCCTTAAGTAACATTTTTTTTTTTTTTTTTTTTTTTTAATCATATATGCCCCACTCAAGGAGGTAAAGCCACTAAGACACAAGGGGGGGGAAAGCAGAAACATTACTAAGGAGCAAGAACAAAAGAGAAGTAATCGGGAGAACAGTAGATAGCGATTGATATTGCATTTGAATTATTAAAGACTAAAGTTAAAGCTAGGAGCCAGAAGAGAGTTCCACAAGTGTGAAGTGCGAGAAAAGAAACTATTAGCATAGAACTTACCTTTACATCTAGCCAACCCAACTGTAAATTGATGAGACCTCATCGCCAATCTAGTACTGCACTTAAATTGAAAAAGTCTTGTCTTTCTTCCAACATTCAGTCTTTAAAAATTCATATGTTTATATTTTATTTACTAATTATTATTTTTTTTTCTCCTCAATATGAGTAAAATAGTTTTGCCTATCATCCTGTTCACATTCCTCCCCAGGAATTAGTACTGTATATGTCTCTCGGTTTATATAAGTTTCTGTTGTCTTGTGTGCGTAAATCCTAAGTTCTGCACTTGGAGGCTTTTGGGTAAACCCACTCTTGGTTTTTTGACTCCCTGAGGTGGTACCTAGTTTCTCATTGGTATCTCTTAGGGTAAACTCAGTAAATTTTGGGGTCACCACAGATCAACTCTTCTTAGGTTCCTGATGGACATTAATTTGATGCTGACACCTGGTAATCCCAGGTGTGAATCACATTCTACAAATCTTTCTGTTATTTTTTATTGCAACTCTCAGATCATTATTCTATAATCATTTGTAAAATGAGAAACAAAGAATGAGTTTTTATTCAGATTTCTTATTTTAATTCTTTATTTCAAATCCATACAGTTGGTACCTCACCATGACATAATGGTTAGCATGGTTAATCTGGCGAGAGATTGAAGATTAATATGTTGTAAAATCAGTCAACTATAGTTAAAATTGTTTATCAAAGATTGATGAGTTGAGAATTGCAATAAAGAAAAAAGCAAGAGAATTTAAGATGAAAGAAATTCTCATCGAAAATTAGCACTAATTCATAATTTTTTATCTATGAAATTCAAATAATATTACATCTAATACTATTAGTTTGAATAAAGCAAGAAAAATAAGAGGAAAAAAATAAGAATTAAAAATTTTAAAATAATTAACAATACTTCCTCTGAGAAATTCAAATATTACATCTAATACTACTAGTCTAAATAAAGCAAGAGAAATAAGATGAAAGAAATAAGAATTAAAAATTTTAGAATAATTAACAATACTTCCTCTGAGAAATTCAAATAATATTACATCTTATACTACTAGTAAGAAAAGTAAGATGAATAATATGAAAGAAATACCAGTTAAGAATTAATTATGACTGAGAATGCTTCATCTAAGAAATTCATATAACATTGATAATACTGTTGCTATGTAATACTTTACTCTGAATTTTTCCTCGGAGAAATATGCGTCATTTGCACATTTCGTTTAGTGGATGATGTAGAAATAAACATTGAAATATCAAGAAAACCACCTGTATTTCTTGTTTATTAATTAGAACTTTATTATCTCGCTATTTGTAGAGGAGGCATGGTGGAGTAATGGATAACGGCTTGGATTGAGGAATTAGAAAGCCAAGTTCAAATTCCAATCGAATCTATTATATTCACTTATGTGCTAATACCCTTATGAAAGGTATGAATCCTCATCTTCTGCCCCCAGCTATGGGTAAATAGCAGGACAGACCAGGTTCTATAGCCTTGGATGACGACTGGTCTACCGCAGAAAGAAATGGCAAACTACTGCAGAACAAAAATCTGCCTCGTCAGTCATGTATCGAAAGATACATGATCGTCTAAGCATGTATCACATATAGCACATAACTGACTGACTGGTTTCTCTTTCAGAAATAAATATATATCTAGTCTGCATACAATTTCTCTTTTAATTTTTGTAGCTTTATTTGTTAAGAAATAATTTTAGTATTGATTTTTCAAAACCTATCTCTTTGGTGGAACAAAATCAATTTAATTAACGCTTTTTCCTGCACCTTTCTCCTTCTCCTTCTTCTTCTTCTGTCTCTTGGCTTAGAAAAAAAAAACACTTATCTCCCAAAATGCTTAGCAGACCTAAACACCAAAGAATAGAGGCAGTAATGCACATTGTCCCTTCCCTAAACCACAGTTTCATTACTGCATCTCCCACCATCAAAATGCCAATAACTGTTTGTGACTCATTCTTTTCTTCCTTCACAAATCCCTGCACTCTTTTCTTTCTCTTGGACCCATCAGGTTTTAAGATGATAGTTTTGTTGTGGAATGGCTTTTCATTTGCATAAAAGACATTAGACCATTTGTTATCACTCTAGCACCACAAATATTCCCATGGTTGGAATTCTTGTGGCGTGTGGTGTCTGTCTGTTGAACCGTCAAGTGGTATGGTAGTCGAGGAAAGATGGTCGGGTTCATTGATTTGCTGGATCACTGCTTCAACCTCATTTCAGTCTCTTTGTCTATCCTTGCTAATTTTCTTCTTATTTTTACTCTTCACTTCCTTTCTCCATCTCTTTTCTTCTTCTTTGCCCTTTTTCTTCTACCCCCCCACTCCTCCTCCTTTCTTCTACTCTCAACTCCAACAACTTGTCTTAGCTTATTCACCCTTCTTTTTGCTATTATTATTATTAATAATAATAATAATAATAATAATTTTTCTTCTTCTTCTTCTTCTTCTTCTTCTTCTTTCCCTTCCTTTTTTTCTCCACTCCTTCTTCTTCGCCTTCTTCTTCTTCTTCTTTCCCTTCCTTTCTTCTTCTTTCCCTTCCTTTCTTCTTCTTCTTTTTCTTCTTTTTCTTCCTCTTTCCCTTCCTTTTTTCTCCTCCTCTTTTTCTTCTTCTTCCTTTTTTCTCCACTCCTTCTTTCTGTTTCTATTTTGCCTCCTTCCTCCTTCATTTCACATCCTCATTCTTAGCTTTTTCTTTTCCTTTCTCAACACCTCCTCCTTTGCCTTCCTTTTTCTCTTTCTTTTCTTTTTCTCCACCCTTTCTCCCTTCCTTCTTCTTTGCCTTTCTTTTTCTCCTCTCCTTCACTTTTTGTTTCCATTTGAAGATTTTGCTTATTTTCAGTCCTTTATTGCTCTTCATCCTTTCTCTTTCACTTTCTTTCTTTCTTTCTATTTCTACCTCGTTCTTTCACTCCTCTCCCTCTAATCTTCTTTTCACCATTCTTTTCTCTCTTTCTCTCAACATCTTCCTTCCTAATCTCTATTCTCATTTCTCTTTTCACTCTCTCATCTCAATTCTTTCTTTAATCTATCTCTTTCTTTCACTCTCTCTCTCATGCCTCTTAATCTTTCCCTGTATATTCCCTTTCTTCTCTCACTGTCTCTTTTGTTTTATTTTAACTTCTTTCATTATATACAAACCACTACCTGAAGAATTCTTTTCAGACCCTCAAGAATTCTGTGCAGATGTGTGTGCAAATACTGACATAGCCTATCATTTCCTTGTGCATAAAGTTTATAAGCAAGGAAATAACAAGCCATTAAAATAACCTCTTCCCATTATCCTCCATGACCACACCTTCTAGCAATTTCTCTTTCTGACCCCTTTTCTGTATTGAAGGCGACATTTCAGAACAATGTGTGCCAGTCTGTATGTGTTTACATCTCAACTGGGAAATGTACCCCTCCTTCATTAAACGATCCTGTCAAACCCACTTCTAAATTATGCAAGAGCACTACAATAGGGTTCAAAGTTTCTTTTTCTTTTTTATGACGAAAATTTTAAATCCCTTTCCATATCTGTTATTAAAATTATTTTAAAGCTAATTTTCCTTGCTATAAATTTGTTTGCTGGTAAAAGAAAAAAAAATATTATTATATTGGATACTAGCATCTAACCCATAAAAAATGATGGGGTTATTTATGTATGGACTGGAACTTCTGCCAAGGTCCAGTGTAGTATCTGCACACATCAGTGAGGATCAAAGTGTTAACCACCTTCGCTAGCCCTCGAGAATAAGTGTAGTATCTATAAAAAGAAACACATACATATAACATATATATTTTATTGAAAATTATAGACAGTTTATGCTGATTAAGTTTGACTATCGAATTACACAGCAGATATATATATGAACAGGCTGAGATAGATACAAACTTGCTGAGATAAATAAGTAGATAAATATAAACAGGCTGAGAGAGATAGATAGATAGGCTGAGATACATAGGTAGATAGATAGATATAAACAGGCTGAGAGAAAGAGAGAGAGAGAGACAGACAGACAAACAGACAGATATGAACACAGTGAGATAGGTAGGTAGATAGATATGAACACACTGAGATAGATAGATATGAACAGGCTGAGAGAAAGAGACAGACAGACAGATATGAACACAGTGAGATAGGTAGGTAGATAGATATGAACACACTGAGATAGATAGATATGAACAGGCTGAGAGAAAGAGACAGACAGACAGATATGAACACAGTGAGATAGGTAGGTAGATAGATATGAACACACTGAGATAGATAGATATGAACAGGCTGAGAGAAAGACAGACAGACAGACAGATATGAACACAGTGAGATAGGTAGGTAGATATGAACACACTGAGATAGATAGATAGATAAGAACAGGCTGAGAGAAAGAGCGACAGACTGACAGATATGAACACAGTGAGATAGGTAGGTAGATAGATATGAACACACTGAGAGAGATAGATAGATAGATATGAACAGGATGAGAGAGACAGATAATAGATAATGAACAGGCAAATAGATAGATAGATAGATAGATAAAGAAATAGATTACGGGAATGTACAAAAACAAAACCTACCAATAAGAAACAGACACCTACCTTAACAAAACCTAACAGTCCTCAGTATTTATAAAATAAAGAAACACAAAATGGGAAACAAAATGAAAACAAAGCCCCAAAAATAATAACAAGCAGGAATCTGTCTCAAGACACTGATCTATCATCGTTACTCTGAGTTTCATACCCAATATATATATATATATATATATATATATATATATATTGAGTAATATTCAAGAAATATTTTTCTTTTTATTTCTTGAATATTACTTGCTTACTTTTGTCTCTCCAAACTTTGAATTATGGCACTTTGTGTCCTCCATATGTTTTGAATAACCTTTCAATCATCTGATGAATATTCATAAACATTCTCAAATTTAAAAGCCTTGATAAACCAATGACATCTTTGCTCTTATTTATAAACATGTGCAACAAAATAAATTCTACATTTGCCTTGATAATGTCCTTCAGAGGACGAAACACACCAGCTAAAAATAGTTTTTCCTCTTGTCTTTTTATTCATTTTGTTTCTTTACAGATATACTCTATGTGAAAATAATTTACATACACATATATATTTAACTAATGTCAAATTGACCCCTCTTTTTCATCAAAATCTTTTATTCATAGTATCATATTCAGTCATTAAATTATTATCTATGCCATTTTGTGACAATACACCTTTCAATACAACATATTGTCCCAGTTATTTAGAAAATTAGAAGAAAACCTAATATCCCATAATGTAAAAAATAAAACCTTAAAACCTATGATGCAAGAATAAAACCATATTTCCCATAATGTAAAAAATAAAACCTTAAAACCTATGATGCAAGAATAAAACCATATTTCCCATAATGTAAAAAATAAAACCTTAAAACCTATGATGCAAGACTAAAACCATATTTCCCATAATGTAAAAAATAAAACCTTAAAACCTATGATGCAAGACTAAAACCATATTTCCCATAATGTAAAAAATAAAACCTTAAAACCTATGATGCAAGAATAAAACCATATTTCCCATAATGTAAAAAATAAAACCTTAAAACCTATGATGCAAGAATAAAACCATATTTCCCATAATGTAAAAATAAATCTGTCAGATATAAACTAATAAAGAAGCTTCTCAAATGAGGATGATATGCAGTTGTTAGTTACATTTGGTCTAATATCCTCATCTTTGTTATTACTATCACAACATTTCGGAGATTATGCCCTTCAACCTTCTTCAGGTACTTGTTAATCTGAGTAACCTTTAACTGAACTTTTTATTTAATTTATACAATTGAATTGTTCTCATTTAACTACCTGTGTCTAGGTATATTTTACATTGTTCTTAATTAGTACTGTTCAATTATTCTTTGACCTATTTCCACAGACTCTAACACCGTACTACTTGGCCCAGAGATTGAATTCAAATATAAGAATATGTTTCTTTCTAATAGTTTTTTTTTTTCTAATTAATTTTTCTTGTTTTCTTACAACTATTTTTTATTAATGGTTCAAGATTATAAATATATTTCACAATATTATTTTTCCAAGTTCTTTCAGACACAATTTGTCCATCTTCAGGGAGTAAAACTGTTTCCAGCCTGCTTGTCCAGCATTTCACTTTGAGAGATTTTATTCTGAACATTTTTTTTTATTCACATTAGTTATATTTACACATATGCCCTCATTTTTGTTGTAATTATCGCAATGTTTCATTTTTTGTGACCTCGAGCCTTCTTCAGGTGTTTATCATCATTTTTGTTGTTATTCTCACAATATTTAGCCGGTCCTGCCCTCTAATCTTTTTAGATATCGGATATCTTAAACTGTCCCCTGAATTTAATCTACTTGGGTAGATTATTCTTGTTCTGTTATCTTGGGATATTTTGTCTTGTTTTTAATTTTAATACTGCTCAGTGATAGCTAGCCCTCTTTCCACTGAGCCTAAATCTGTACTACCCTGCCTTGGGATTGAACTCATAATTACTATGCCACCGAATCCATTCACATCAAATATAAATAATGTTAACTCCTCTTCCCAGAAATTCAGACAGAAAATATGCGGTTGCATTTTTTTTTATTTATTTACGTTTTAAAAATACGTATTTCCATAAGGCATAACCTTTAGAATTCTTGAGGCATCTCATAAACACAATTTTGTCTCTTTTTGCTTTAATCAAACCTTAGAAAAAAAAATCAAGCCCTAGAAAAAATAACATTGGCTTAGATTCCTTTCTTATTGGCTAATGGTATTAAATGACTGCGTTTGTAGGGAGGCATTGATTATTAGAGAAATGGATGATGTCTACCCCCCTTCAAAAGGAACAAACTTCCCAACCCAACTCTCCATGTTTTTTCTACCCAAATTAATTTCTCACAAGGGCTCAAGTAGCAGCAGACGCATCATCTCTTTGACTAATGTTGTCTTTGTCGCTTGTTATTCCCTTGGAATTTATTCTGCTTGTGAAAAGGAAAGTGACAATAATCTATTTTTTGTTATTTTGAATTTGACGTTATTTGGGTTAAAATGAAAAGGAAATTAGAAAGTTGGCCATTGTGGCGGTCGGCTGTTTTCACTGGAGAAAATTACTGAATAATCTTTTCCTATTCTGTCTGGAGTGGATGATATACACTACTAGTCAAATGTTTGGCGCCAACATTTAAATTCAATAATTAGTAAGTTTCATGCCTGCTTTGTTTTAATTAACTTCTACTAAGCTATATAAACTAACTAACTAAAACTATTTATCCCTTTAGTGCATGGGTTCAAATTTTTAGAGAGGATGGTACCTAAAATTTAAAATCCACCAGCCCTAAAATTAACATTACACTAAGTAAATTAAGCAAAAAGAGCCAAAATTTTTAAAGAATCTATGCAATAATAGTTTAATTTCATTATTATTATTGAATATATAATAAAATCCTTCAGCTAATATTTTGATGTAGCCAACTGGTGCCAGCAGAATACTTATAATGAAACAATAAGGAAACTTCAGTACATACATTAGTTAAGGGATTTTCAAACTGTGGGTCCCAACCCTTCAGTGGGTCACAAGATAAATAAAATGGGTCATGACAAAAGTGAGAGCAAAGTGCAGAATATAAACAACTCTTAATGTTGCACAGAACTTATAAATCATTGCTAGTTTTTCACTGGGGTAAGCTCATATTATATTTTAATTTTTTTAAATATAACTAATATATATATATATATATATATATATATATATATATATATATATATATAGTCTGTTCTCATTGAGTTTATGTAACTTGTTAGTCAAACTCATTGCAGATTGAGTGACATCAGTTCTCTCTCACAAAGTGACCTCTTGCCAAAACTACAAATTTGTGCACTGCATTCATCTTTGTGGCCTGTGAAAGCCGTTGATTGTTGAATAATTCGGTTGCATCTGAAGTCAGTTAAAAGTGAATTTTTTGACTCACTGTCGAAGTCCAGTACTGATACATTCTTTCTGTGGTAGTATGATGATATATTGTATTCATTTGAAGTCTCAGAATTTTCAGCGAGTTGGCTGTTGTTTTGTCGAAATTTAAGAACAGGCTAGTTTTTTTTTTTAAAGTAATAGTTTTATATTCATCCAAATAGATAATACAAATAGATCCATGCAATTCCAATGTGTGCGGATCAGAAATATATATATATAAATTGCCGATGCTAAATAAATGAACCTAGTAAACAGAGATTGTCTTTGATTTATTACTCATAAGTATAATGGGTCACAATGCAAAATGTGGTTCTTCCTGTGGGTCGCAGTAAAAAAAAAAAAAAAGTTTGAAAAACGCTGCACTAGTCAACATTCCGGACATTCAACCTCCCTCAAAAGACAAGAATTGATGGGAACATAATGTATAGGTGAAGAGGTTACCGTCCTCTGGAATTTAAGCGTTTAGACTCATAGAGAAACCCAGGAAAATCAACCATACATAAATGAGAAAAATTATATTGAAAACATGTCTTCCAATAGATGTATCATCCCCAACCAACAAAAGAACATCTTTGAAAACGTTTGAGAAACTAAATAAAACCAAGTGCCTCAAGATAGAAATCAGTAAAATGTGGCATTTGTAGACAACAACATGACCTATTGTTATTGGGATATTGGGAATTATATCTGTCGGGTTATCTCCTTCTAATTTTCAAAACTGCAACTAGAGGACATTCTCTGGACTATAAATAAACTGCAATAATTTTTTATCACCTTTTCTTACTTTTTCTACTTACACATCAACATGTAACCTCTTGCGGGGAACACACTTCCCTTTGGAAAACACATGAACAGTACATACACACGCATTCACTCACTACGCATACTTTGGAGCATTAGATTTTCACATTCATTGTTACACACATTATTGTCTTGTCACTTGTAACCTTTTATTTTTAATACATTATCATTTTTTTTGTGCATATATATTGGTTCTTAATATTTATTTATGTGGACTCATATCCCAAGTCTGCCATGTTTGTTGTGGGCATTTCAGGAGACACGTGTGTTTATTTCTCAACCCTAACACCAATGTAACTAACGCACGCAATAAGTTGGGAAACACATACACTAGTCTGGAATATCAAAAGGAGCCAACATGTGAATCAAATACCTGGTAACCCTAAAATATGGGAAATACAAAAAAATAAAACATATTCATGTGTACTCACTTCTTACATTTCTCCATGCAGTGACCACAATTACATAGTTTTTTACTCCTTGATTATATGGCACCTCATCTGTTTGTATTTTTCGATACAAAAAACACTTGTCTCTTGAAGTCTCTGGTTGAAACTTGTGGGCAACTTGCTTGACACGAAGCAAAGGCCAAACATAACAATAAAAGTGGAGCATGCCTCTCTGCTAAGGTGGTTACCCAATCCCTTTTGCAGATGCCTGCTCAGGCACATTTTGTGTTTCTTCAACACTTGTAGATTTAACTTGTGGTTTATACTGCAACTACGTTGAGCAAACGGTGGCTACAGTTTTTGGTAGCATGTTCATGATATAGCATGATCCATAGTTAGACAAAATCAATACATTCAAACCCTCAGTCCCGATGACTTTTGACTTCATGCAAGCACAACTATAGATGACTTCTGAACAGTTTTATATACCCAATTTCACCCATAATATTTGTTTCAAACTGTGCTATGGTTTTCAGGCAATTCCCGTATGCCATATGCTGGGATTATCTCCCCAGACCAATATTATCAGGAAGTCACCTTCTTGACAAATTGACCCCTTTGAGATTTGAACCTGGCTCTCACTTGCAGGTAGTATAGTGATTATCAGCACAGAATGTGGAATTGCTGAGTTCAAACTCCTATCAATTCTGTTTCCATCCACTAACCCTAACCCAGCCCATGCCCTTGGTAAAGGTATGAATCCCTCTTCTGCCACAGCTATGGGTTAAATAGCAGGATAGACTAGGCTCTTTTGCTTTTGTGGTAGCCAGTCTAGGAGAAGAAAAATTCTAAGTCCAAGCCTTTGGAGCTCTGTTTGGAGATTTTGTGGTACAGTGTGTGCCATTTCTCTGGTATCAATTCTTCTAACAAGTATGGCTGGTTCTGCACATGTTCTCATCACTACCATCAAATCCAGTTTGTGGATAGTCTCGCGCTTTGGTATGTCAAAATAAACAGGAAAATCCACTATGTATATGGACATGCACACACATACAGGGTGTGTCAGAAATACTCTTACAAACTTTGGGGTGGGTTCCTCATCCCAACACAAGGAAAAAAAGGCTGGATGACTTTCGGTCCAGAAATGCAATCTAATACAGTTGTGCAGCCTCATGTCCATTACCATTCATGCAGCCGTATGTAAAAATCATATCTTCTTACTCACAATATGAATATCCTGCCATTGTTAAACAGGACACTTTCACTTAACTCACTAATAAACATGTTGAACATTGAAGACAGACTAGCTACAAATGTACCACCAATAATTTATGTAAAAATGTAGTCTTTATAGTTTGTACCATAAGCTTTCTTTAAACATAATAACACAAAAATAAAGTATTTGCAGACGTATGTTTATATGGACTTTTGCCTTGTTTTGGTGTGCAGAGCCTGTCTCCAGAATTTGTAAAAGCATTTTTGATACTTTGAGATGCAACCTGTGTATATATATATATATATATATATATATATATATATACACACAACTTGAAATTGGTCAAATGTGAGAATGCTGGAAACAAAAAAAAAAGTTGGGAAAATGTACACAGAACAATTCTTGCAAACAAAGGTAGCAACATTCAAAAATACTTGGGAAGAAAATAATATAAAATAAGAATAAATATATGAATTTTGGCAAATTTGCCGATAACACAAAACACCTAATTCAGAAATTAGAAAAATTAAATAAAAAAAATTGGCAGATAGAATTTGTCGATATTATTTAACCAAATATTTTTGATATATATATAGTTGGATTGGTGTGAGTTTGTGACCCTGGGTTTCACGCTATTTGCGATTGTCAGACAAGCTATATATATAAATATGTGTGTTAAAACTATATTTTTAACACATAATATATATATATATATATATATATATATATATATATATATATATATAAACACCCAGTCAACACCAAGTGACAGCAATTTGTTTCATAATTGATATACAGACACACACACACACACACACACACACACACACACACACATATATATATATATATATAAAAGAAAAATTGACCATAGATCTATTTACATTTTTGCAAATGACCATGATTTTTGCATATATGAAACAGACTGTTATATTTGGTGTTGATGTCTAAAGGTCATTTTTATATTTACACACGCCTCTGATATTGGAGCACTTTATCCCATAAATATAGCACACCTTAAGACTATATTTTTTATATATATATATATATATATATATATATATATATATATATATGTATATCTAATTGAAATAATAAAACAAAAAATATTAATAAACAATCCTCTGTATCTGAAAATTTGAATTTTTGAATTTTTCAATATTTGAAGTGAACACCCAGAGGTGACAGAAACATATTGTTGCCTCTGGGTGTCACCTTCAGTGTCCACTTTTATATTTATATATGCTCTATCCATGATATTGAGCACTTTAACCATACATCAATCCAACCAAATATGTTACCTCTATCTCTGATATTGAGCTCTTTCTAATAAGTACAGCGCATATAATACATAAATAATAATATATTACATATATATATATATATATATATATACACACACAAACTTTTACACACACACACACACACAAATATATATATATATATATATAATATATATATATATTTAAAGATATTTTTGTTGCAAAAAATTTAATTCTTGATCGAAATAATAGATAAAACTAATATTACCTTTGTTTAAAAAAAACAAAAAAAAGAAACATAATTTTTATTAATTTTAAATCTCCCCATGAAGATGATTTTTTGGAGCAAAACCAAATCTTGCATTCACCCGTTGTTTTTTTTTTAAATGTCTCGTAATATTAGTTTTATACTTTTATTTATATATATGCTTATGTTTTTAATAAATTCATAAAAAAAAATAACATTTTTACTATATATATATATATATATATATTCTACATTTGTCCTGACATTGAAGTTCTACCTAAATTCTATCCTCTTGGAAACTTTCATATATATATATATATATATATATATATATGTATAAAAATGACTAAATTATCAATATATATATATATATATATATATATATATATATATATATGTATATTAACCACTAATATTATCAATATATATATATATGTGTGTGTGTGTGTGTAAATATAAGTAATGGGTTTGTCACTTAGCTGATTGATGCTACCTTCAGGATCCTGACTCCAGAGTTTTGTAGACGGACCCTCTGGGAATTACACCATCCACTCCTCATGGTATCAGCAATTGACTGCTTATACTTCTCAATTATGCCTTTTATTGATATATGTGTATATTCCCACCTGCGGCCTTCTTCAGTTCATACACAAAAATGAGGTCAATAAAAACAAAAATAATCAATGTGTGACATTCTATCCTTACTGTACAGGTTGTTCACCTGAAGAAAGCCAGGGAAATTTTTTTTTTTCCTTCACTTCGGGCGAAATCATTAAAAAACCAAAATGTCAGCACTGAAGCCACGATTACAAGTTTTTATTTACATTTTATGGATATAAACATATACCTATGCAACTAATACATCCAGTTCCTTCTGTCAAAATTGTTGCTTGTCTAGTCTGTTTCTTTCTTCACTCTACCTTCTGTAGGTGTATGTACACACATACACATTTATACTTGTCTATCTATTTATTTCTCACTCTTTCTACATACAAATTTATA